AAGTGTAATGTGCTGAGAGCCAATAGTTTTTACAGTTCAGTGATAGAGAAATTAAGGCCACACATTGTACCTTAAGCCTTAATGACACAAAGGCATCATAGTTCACAGCAGTTTACATCTGTGTAATGAGGACTTCACTGTCCCAGCTAAGGGGGGTGGAATATCTCCAAATAGTTATAACTTTTCTTCTTTACTTCATGTGGGTTTTCAAAGGAACAAGCCCTTACCCAAGGAACCTAATGAATAGAGAGACTTAAACTCAGCTCGGTCAAACATATTTTACTGAGATTTCCATGAGATTTCCATTGCTGCTGTAAAATATTCCTGCAGTCGTTCTTGAAAGTGATCATATACAGTTCTAGGTGCCAGAAGCCTGAAATGGGACTCATATCAAGATGTGCGCAGGACTTGGCTCCTTCTACGGGAGAATCTTTTTTCTTCCAATTCCAGTTTGCAGTACTGACCACCTGTATTCCTTGACTCAGGGCCCTTCCTCCTTAATCAAAACCAATAGTGTAGCCCTAACTGGTTTGGCTCAGTGGATTGAGCGTCAGCCTGTGGACTGAAGGTTTGATTCCAGTCAAGGGCACATGTTGGGGTTGTTGGCTCAATTACTAGTAAGGGGCGTGAAGGAGGCAGCTAATCAATGATTCTCTCTCATCAATGATGTTTCTATATCTCTCCCCTCTCCCTGCCTCTCTGAAACCAATAAAAATATATTTAAAACAAAAAATAACCCAATGGTGTACATTTTCATCTTGCCTCCGCTTTTGCATCTAGGGGACCATTGTATTTACCTTAGTTCCACTTGGATGATCCGGGCTCATCTTCTATTTTAAAGTCAGTCAATTAGCGCCCAAACTGGTTTATCTCAGTGGATAGAGCGTCGGCCTGTGGACTGAAGGGTCCCAGGTTCGATTCCGGTCAAGGGCATGTACCTGGGTTGCGGGCACATCCCCAGTGGGAGATGTGCAGGAGGCGGTTAATTGATGTTTCTCTCCCATCGATGTTTCTAACTCTCTATCGCTCTCCCTTCTTCTCTGTAAAAAATCAATAAAATATATTTAAAAAATAAAAATAAAGTCAGTCAATTAGCGTCCTAGCCGGTTTGGCTCAGAGGATAGACCTTCGGCCTGTGGACTGAAGGGTCCCGGATCGGTTTCAGTCAAGAGCACATGCCCAGAATGTGCTGAGGAGTGGGAGCGCCAGGGGGAGGTCAACGTGGGTATTTAAAACTACTGGGCATTGGGATGTGGACGTCTTTTGGAGGTTCTTATTCTACCTGCTACAAATCATTTTTCAGTATTATTTTGTGTCACTCAAGGGCCCTTATACAGAGGAAACAAATATTTAATCATAGCCTCTAGAATGAGTGAGTAACTATTCCTTTAAAACTCCATGTAAAGTCAATACTTGGATCATAAGACCTAAAATTGCCTGCAGCTAACTCTGACACAGAACCACAGCCTTTCTACTCAGAGAGTAGTCCTCAGGCCAGGACCTGCAACAGCACACCACCAGGGAGCTTGTTAGAAATGCAGTGTCTCTGAGGCCTCCAGACCTGCTGCATCGAATTCTGCATTTGAGCCAGAATCCTGGGGACTGCATAGGAACACTGAAATTGGAGAAGTGCTGATCTAAACTCGGTTTTCTCACTTTTTACCATTCACATTTGGGGAGGGATAATAATTGAAGGGGATGCTTTTTTGTGAATTGTACCTATTTAGTGATATCCCTTCAGACATGCCAGACACCCTCAGGACAAAATCATTTCTTGTTGAGACCGATTGACTAAAATTATACTCAAGGCCCATCACACACTCTGATATTAACTTTGAGCAGGTCACTAAACCCTGTCAGCTCCTCCCTAGGGCTTTGACCTCTCTCCCTCTCTTGAGTTCTGTACTCAGATGTCATTTTGTTTGCAGATCTTTCCTAAATACCCATAAAAAAAAATAGAATGCCCTCGTCACGTTCTCCTCTAGACCTGCTTTCATTTTCTTCTTATGCTCTCTCACCATTTGAGTAATGTTATTTTTATAATATTTGTATTATTTGCTTACATATACTTGCCCCAGATTGAGTTGTATGCACTTTTGTTCTTCAGCATCCTCTACTCACAGCCCAGACAGTTCTGAAAACATGGTCAGCACTCAATTCATATCCTGAAATGCATGAAAAATTTCTCATTAAAACTGTAGTATACCTGACATCTTAGGGAAAAAAGCAGATTGGGACAAAAATTCCTACTCTGAAATGACACAGGAAGTTTCTAGATGGAACCAACCCCAGACCAAAATACTGAAACTAATTTCCTAACTGCAGGAGACACACTATAGCATTAGAGCCATGTGAGCAATACTAGATTGTGTGAAAAGTCCTCATGCTCTTTTCTTCTTTCTTGGAAGTCATTCCCACCTCATGGAACCAGGGAATCTTACAGGAGCATCATAATTCATTCTCCTGGGTTTTTCAGAGGAACCAGAACTGCAACCCCTCATATTTGGGCTTTTCCTCTCCATGTACCTGATCACTGTGTTTGGAAACCTGCTCATCATCCTGGCCGTCTGCTCAGACTCCCACCTCCACACACCCATGTACTTCTTCCTCTCCAACCTGTCCTTGGTAGACATCTGTTTTACCTCCACCACCGTCCCAAAGATGCTGGTGAACATCCAGACACAGAGCAAAGCCATCACCTATGAAGGCTGTATCATTCAGATTTATTTTTTCTCACTCTTTGCAATGTTGGATAACTTGCTTCTGACTGTGATGGCTTATGATCGCTTCGTGGCCATCTGTCACCCCCTGCACTACACAGTCATCATGAACCCCCGGCTCTGTGGACTGCTGGTTCTGGTGTCCTGGATCACAAGTGCCCTGCATTCCCTGTTAGAAAATTTACTGTTGTTGCGACTAACCTTCGATACAGACTTGAGATCCCCCACTTTTTCTGTGAACTCAATCTGATGACCCAACTTGCTTGTTTTGACAACTTTCTTAATAACATTGTGATGTATTTTGTAACTGTGCTCCTGGGTGGTGGTCCCCTCGCTGGTATCATTTACTCTTACTCTAAGATAGTGTTCTCCATACGTGCAATCCCATCGGCTCAGGGGAAGTATAAGGCATTTTCTACCTGTGCGTCTCACCTCTCAGTTGTCTCCTTATTTTATGGAACAAGCCTAGGAGTGTATCTCAGCTCTGCTGCTACCCCAAGCTCACACTCAAGTGCAGCAGCCTCAGTGATGTACACGGTGGTCACACCCATGCTGAACCCCTTCATCTACAGCCTCAGGAACAAAGACATAAAAGGGGCCCTGAGACGATTCTTTGGGATGGCAGTCATAAAAAAACAGCTGTGCTGAGTCTGAAAAACTGCACTTGATTTCATGGCTTCAAGATTAAAACCAGAAATAAGGTCCTTTGATCAGATTGTGTTTGTACAACTTGCTTCTATATTTATTTCCTCTTGTTTTAGTTCAACTTCTCTATACAATTTAAGTAACCATTTCATTGCACTTTATGCTATGTTTATTATACAGAGAGTCCCTTTCAACTTTGTTCTAACCTACCAGCTTTTTCCAACCTTGATCATAATGCAAATTCCAGTTTATTTCATGGACAACATGGATTTCTGAAGATTAATTCATCTCAAATAATATACATCATTGTAAGGAAATTGTTTTTATTTTATAGATAGAACAGTTAAAAATTGTATTATTCGCCCTAGTTGGTTTGGCTCAGTGGATAGAGCGTTGGCCTGCGGACTGAAAGGTCCCAGGTTCGATTCCGGTCAAGGGCATGTACCTTGGTTGTGGGCACATCCCCAGTAGGGGGTGTGCAGGAGGCAGCTGATCGATGTTTCTAACTCTCTATCCCTCTCTCTTCCTCTCTGTAAAAAATCATTAAAATATATTTTAAAAAAATTGTATTATTCACGTGGGACAAACTTTGCTTGGTTACTCACACTATTTATATAATTTCATTCCAGGAAAATCTGACCCTTTGCCCTAACCGGTTTGGCTACGTGGATAGAGTGTCAGCCTGCGGACTCAAGGGTCCCAGGTTTGATTCCGGTCAAGGGCATGTACTTTGGTTGTGGGCACACCCCAGTAGTGGGCGTGCAGGAGGCAGCTGTTCAATGTTTCTCTCTCATCCATGTTTCTAACTATCACTCTCCTTTGCACTCTGTAAAAAATCAATAAATTGTATTTTTTAGAAAAATCTGACGCCTCAATTTTATCTTTTCTGTTTCTCATTCTTTATACATCAAAACTTTCACTGTTCTTCCTGATAATATTGACTTTATATCATTGTTCCTTATAAGTCTCGGCCTATTGATGGTAATGCTATAGGCTGAAAATGCCTGGGCACTGGCCTTGGGCCCTGCTACTGGTTCTTCAGACCATAGTCAATGTTGTGGCTGGAAGGGCTCTTGTGGTCCTTATTAAAATTGCAACAATCATGAGGCATCTATGAAATCACAAGGTTTATTACCCACAGGTCCTGTAGGATACACAGCATCCTAAGGTCCACTTCAGAAGATCTCAGAATGGGGGAAGGGAGGAAGAAGGGAGAGAGATAGAGAAAATAGGTTGAGTTGGGAGGGGAGACCTCAATGCTTCTCTAGTAACCTTGTCATAAACCTGGCAATAGGATTATTTGAGACTAGCGGGCCCCTTGCAGGATTTCATGTACCAGTCGGGTCCCTCCTCCTGGCCTACAGGATTGGGCCAACACCAGCTCTCTGACATCCTCCGAGGGGTCCTGGGTTGTGAGAGGGTGCAGGTCAGGCCGAGAGACCCCACCAATGCATGACCATGGTCAGGGAGGGCTGCGGAAGGTTGGTC